ACAGATATTATTAATGGTCCACCCTGTTATTTTTGCCTTTGTAATGTGTGGTGCAAATGGTAAATGTACACGTTGTGATTTCACTACGGTGCGTACCCCTCCTACTGCATCCACAGTAACACTTTGCTTAGGCCCCTTTATGCCTAACTGATTTGCAAACCCTGCTCTTACAAGTGTGGTCTCACTTCCTGAGTCTAAAAGTACCAAACCATTGACTACCCTTCCAGAATCATCTATAAATGGGACAGATACAGTTTTCAGGGCAACCCTCTCACTTATGGGTGTGCTGATTTGTGCTTTCCCACAATGCATTGCTTTGTTTTCCTCTGGGGTCTTAGGTGGGTCATCAGATGGTTTCTCATGCTTAGATTTAGAACTGTGCAATAAATAATGATGGCCTTTGTCACATGAGTCTACCCCACATTTGGTGGACTTTGTGCACAGGCGCCGTTGGTGGCCAGGTTTCAAACAACCAAAACATACCCTTTTATTTTTTACAATTTCCCAACGTTTCTCAACAGAACTATCAAAAAACAAAGGGCATGAGACTTCAGTGTGTTTTTTATCACACAATGGACAATTTTTTAAACTTTGGTGTTCTGGATCAAATCCAGATGTGCGTAGAGCATGGACCCTACCTCGCATGCGACCTGGTGGCTGAAAATTAGTCGACTCTTTACCCTTATCTGGCGGCTCAATATTGTATCGCTCACGTTTACGCATGGTTTTGGCTCTAACTTGGGCCCACTTGGCTAAACCCTTCATGTCTTCCGAGTAATCTTCACTCTCAACCTGTTTTACCCATTCATCCCTTTCTCTAGGTGGGAGTTTTTGAACCAACAAGGTACAAAGAGGTATACTAGCTAATTCATGCCTATAGTCAGGTTTATCTAGTGCAAACACAGCTGCTTGTAATGCATCTGCAAAGCGTTGAAACTCTTCACGATCCTTATCCTTAATGTGGGGCCAAGAACTTATTCTGCGCAAATGGGCATCTATAATTTCTCGGGGGTCCCCATACCTATCAGTGAGTTGTTTCACCGCCCTGTCATAGTCCCCAGGCTCCCCGGTCAGGCATGCAATAACTTCACGTACTCTGTCCGTTAAACAGCTATTCAGATGAGCTAGCTTGATTGCTGGCGTTAGTTTATCGTTTTTATGGACAAGAGAACTAAATATTCCCCAAAAGTACGGCCACTTATCTGGTTTTCCATCGAATGATGGGATTTCAACACCTTTCAGACCAGTTCTTTTCCCAGACATTGAATCGTTCACAGTTTCAGTATTTTCATCATTATTCTGAGCAGTTGGTGGTGTAATACTAGACTGTTCGTTTGGCGATGGGCTCTCAGACTTTAATAAATATTCAGCAACTTCTCCCAGGACTTCGTTGACATCAAATTATACCTCTTCTAACCAGCTACCATCAGTCTCAATTGACGCTGGATCAAGCTCTTCCAGTTCTTTCGTAAGGTCACGGGCTTTCGTACGACCTTCTTCTACACCTTTGGCAAACTGTCGGACTTTCGAAACACTTCCATCGCTAGAGATCAGCTCTCTGACACGATTCATATTTCTTGTCACGCTAGCTTTCGCGACTTTTCTCTTCGCTCTACACTTGTCAATTTCACTTACTTCTGGCATTTTCTTTCTTATCCGGCTCGACGAAGGACCAGCTTTGTTATAGACGGCGTGTAATTTTCATTAACCATGAGGTTTTCATATATTTATTTAGTATAACTCAACAGTTTTTACAGAATAACTCTGTTTCTCAAAAACGTTTTGTGTTCGTTCTGTCCTCTGACCTCTCTATTTTCAATGTTACTGGACAAAAGTCTATTACCATAATAAATTAACATGAACTATATAATAAACTGGACAAAGTCCAAAACACTCACTTTGTATTGCGTTAACGATTCTTCCCATTTTCCAATAGTTACGTGGTGTTTCTTCTTTCATTATTACGATGTTCCCCGGTTGTAGATCTCGTTCTCGGACGTTCCATTTTGTTCTCGACTGAAGAAGTCCTTGTAGGTATTCTTGTTTCCAGCGAATCCAAAATTGTTGCGCGAGGTATTGGACTCGTCTCCAGTATTTACGTGAGTAGATGTCTTGTGCCGTAAATGTTCCAGGAGGAGAAAGTAGAGGTCGAGTTTTCATGGTCAACAACGTTGCAGGAGATAGTGGTTGAGGATGGTCAGGGTCTGTGGATAGAACACCAATTGGACGAGCGTTAACTATGGCGCTGACTTCGGCCATCAAGGTTACGAGCAGATCGTGAGTGAGTTGACGAGGTCCGAGTTTTGAAAGCATTACGTCTAGAACACGTCTAATCGTACCGATTTGTCTTTCCCACGTGCCCCCAAAGTGAGATGCATGAGGAGGGTTAAACAACCATTGGCACCCTTCTTCACTAAGATAATTTTGGATTGAATCTTGGTCCATTTCGTTCAGGGCGTTTTATAATTCTGTTTTTTTTCAAAGAAATTGGTACCGCGATCACATCTCAGTACGGCGGCTGGGACACGGATGGCGAAGAATCTTCTTAAACCACATATAAATGAACTTGAATCCATACTATCTAGTACCTCGACATGTACCGCTCTGGAATTAAGGCACGTGAAGATAAGGCCCCATCGTTTAGAATTGGAAGTCCCTCCTCTTAACTTACGCGTGTGAATCGTCCACGGTCCGAAGACATCGAATCCGACGTTAGTAAAGGGCGGCGGCGTCTCCAAGCGATCGAATGGCAGATCCGACATATGTTGTTTTTGAACTTTTCCTCTAAGTCGTTTAAAGGTTACACATCGGTTGATTAGTTTGGACACCATTCGTCTGCAGCTAATTATCCAGAATCCTCCTTGCAACACGGCACCTTGAGATATTAGCCGACCTTGATGGTGTTTTTTTTCGTGGTAGTGATTTATTACGAGGTAGGAAAGATAATGATCTTTAGGAAGGAAAGCGGGGTGCTTTTCATGGAATGTCTGATGGGAACGACGAGTTCTGCCGCCGACACGAAGAATGCCGTATTCATCTAGAAACGGGTCGAGACGGTACAGGTGAGACGTTTTGAGCTTGTGTTCTTTGTGCGTTAACGTGCTGTCGGAATGAACTCTGGAAGAGGTCAGTGCGTCAATCTCTGGAGCGAACGATTCTCCCTGCACGGTCTTGGTTAGGACTTCTTCAGCGGATTTGAGCAGGTCTGAAGATATTCTTCTTTGGATGTTTTCGGAATTTGGGTGTGCAGATCTCATGGAGCTCTTTTTCCCATCCAGATCTCGACGTAACTTGAAAGTTCGAATTTTCAAAATCAGCCTTGCAACAGCTCTTCGAAGCGTGGACCATCTTGAAAACCGTTCAAATCTCCTTGAGCCCAATCCTTTGACGTGTTGTTGTGCATTTGTTTTTAGGGCAAGCAAGGGTCGGATCTCAGGATCTTCTTCGTTCAGTGGCATCTCAACATGCGGGCTGGGTGACAATTGATGAAGATTTCGTAGGAACTCTGGTCCTTGAAACCATTGGGTATTCAACAACTGCTTAGGACTAATGCTTCTCGTTGCTAGATCAGTAGGATTGATTGGTGTATCCACGTATCTCCATTGCGTTGGACTGGAAGTTTGTCGAATTATCTGGACTCGATTAGCGACGTAGGAGTAGAATCGTCTTTTCTCATTTTGGATATTGTAATATCTAAGTACTAGGTATATATTTGTGCTATAGAATATATTTAGTATAACATAACGATATAGTTCTTATTGGTGTTTTAGTGTGTGTGTGTGTTTCCTCTACACAACGTGTCCTATATATATATATTTAATTAGTTCCGACCGTATAGTCCTGGTGCCGAGTGAATGACATGACGTCATTACTATAGATATATCCCAAGACTACCTTCGAATCGCTGTAAAATACGACCTCGTTGACTTCGATTGTGAGTTCTTTGAGGACGCGTTTCGTCGCTTGAGTAGTGAGGACTGCAGCGCAAAGTTCTAATCTGGGGATAGTCGTTAATCGCCTTGGAGCCAGTTTCGTTTGAGCAAAGATCAGAGACACGGAATCTCTTTCTTCGTTGTCGACTAGTTTCAGGTGTACCGTCGCACCGATAGCATCTTCGCTTGCATCGGAGAACGCGTGGAGTTCAACACGGGTAATCTGTCCAAAGTTGTTTGGATGGTAACATCTTGGGATAAGAACGTCTTGCAATTCGTAAAGTGCATCTCTCCAACGTAGCCATTCGTTCAACAGGCTGGAAGGAAGAACCTTGTCCCATCCCAATAGTTGGTTGCTACCAGAACGTTTGTTTCCCATGTCTGTTAACTTGCGTAGCAATAATCGGCCTCCGAGTGTGATAGGAGTGATTAATCCTAATGGGTCGTAGGTAGAATTAACAATAGCAAGAACGCCACGACGAGTATATGGTTTCTCGGGTAGGGAAATTTTAAAGGTAAAGGCATATTTCTCTACGTCCCAGTGCACGCCTAACGAGCGTTGAACAGGAATGGGGTCGACTTGTAGATCCAAATCTTTGAGGTTATCGATGCGGTCTTCTGCTGGGAAGGATTCCATGACAACAATGGAATTTGAAACCACCTTGTGGAGTCGTATGTTAGGGGTTGCCAACAGGGCTTGTGTATTCTTCACGAGGGAAATTGCGTCAGTATCCAAAGGCGTGGAGGTTAATCCATCATCGATATAAAAGTTGTTGTGCACAAATTCTTTCGCTGCGGACCCAAATGTCTCCTCGCCGTCTTCAGCGGTCCTTCTTAGACAGAAATTAGCGACGGCAGGGCTGCAAGTATTTCCAAACGTATGCACGGTCATTTCGTATTCAATAATTTCTTTCTTTGGGTTATTGTCCTTGAACCACAGGAACCGTAGCAGGCTTCTGTGCTCTGGGTGGACGTAAAAACAGTAGAACATGTGTTGTATGTCGCATGTGACAGCGACGTTGTGTTGACGGAATCGAATCAGGACGCCTTGAAGGTTATTTGCTAGATCAGGGCCAGACAAAAGTTCCTTATTTAGCGAAACTCCATCAAACTCGGCTGAGGAATCGAACACGACTCGTATACGATCGGGCTTTTTGGGGTGGTATACGCCGAAGTGTGGTAGGTACCATGTTTTGCTTTTCGTTTCCTCGCCTAACGACTCGAGGGGGACTGGGGTAGCATGTCCACGTTGCAACATACCTCCTATGAAGTCGACGTAATCTTTTTCCAACTTAGGGTTCCTCTTGAAACTTTGTATCAATTTGTTGAGTCGTTCTACAGCTTGCACTCGATTGTCTGGAAAAATGGGGTTTACTGCACGGAGAGGGAGTGAGGTTTCTCAGTTTCCCTGTTCATTTTTTCTAATAGATCTCTGCATGATATCGAGGAAATGTCTGTCTTCGATAGACATGGCTTTCTAGTTGTCGTTACTTTGAGTACGAAACACACGTAGATGCACCACACGTAGACAGAAGGTATTTCTCTCTTGGGCCGGTACATCCAAGCTTATCTGCTAACTTTGGGGTTATCATAGAAGCGTTGCTTTGTTCGTCTATGATAGCATAAACTCGATGCACTTTATCTGGTTCTCGTTCGAGGAAAACGTCTAATAGGACAATCTTGCTACACGAAAGTCCTTGTGTTCCTGAACATAGTTCGGTACAAGACGATGTTACTTCTTCTTTCTGGTCTTCCCTTCCTGGTTTTTTCTGTTGTTCAAAGTGAAACAGTGTCAAGTGTCGTGCACTGTCACATTTCTGGCATTTTACCGGTACTTTACAGTTCTTTGCAGTATGACCTTTAGCGAAGCATCGAAAGCAGAGACCCGACTTTTTCGTCCAATCCGATCTTTGTTGTAAAGTCTTCCTTGCGAAAGCTTTGCACTCTAAGATGTCGTGACCTTGACGATCGTGGAACTAACAATGTTTTTCTTCGCTGCTAGGACTCGGGCTTTCGGTGTTCCCTTTTAAAATTCTGTGATCTTCGTCTTTGTATCGATCTTTTCTTCCCGATCGAGGGATGTCTGTTCTCATATTCTCATATACTGTAACGTTCGGGTGGTTTTTTAGTCGCGCGTACTTTCGAACTTCTCTAGCGAACACTTCGAAGTAGATCGGATATAGATCGTAATTCGTAGAGGCAAATTCCACGACTCGCTCATCCCATTTTCGCTGTAAATGACCTGGCAGTTTCATGACCAATGGGCGAATGACATTCGGGTAGTTAAGACATTTGAGGCCAGGGAGTTGCTTCATCTGGTCGCTCACGTTATCGCAGAGATCTGAGAATTCCTTAAGTTTCTTCGCATCTTTCTCACCGAACCGTGAGGCATCCTCGAGGCGTTGAAGGAGGGCGTTCGTGATTGCAGCTACGTTTCCAAAGCGTCTCTCCATCTCGCTCCACTGTTCTTTAATAACTTTAAATTGGTTGTCATCTATTCGCTTACGATAATTGTCGATAAGTTTCTGGGGTTCTCCAGATGTATATTTATGTAAGTAGTTTATCCCCTGTTCTGGCGATATTTCGGCATCGTAAATCGTAGCCTGGAATGCTTTCTTCCAAGCGTGAAACATTGCAAAATCACCACTAAACACGTCGGGATGGCACTTTGGAAGATTTTGACGAGCCAAACTTGCTGATAGCTGTCGGTTTGTCTCTGCCATTGCCAACATGCATCCTTGGACGGTAATGGGATCATCATCTGGTCGTCCTCCCCTTGCACGGGGGTTTAGCCCCAAACGAGGGTCTAAGTAAGATGGGTGTTCGGTATCTGCGGCGAGACAGGTGGGCCTACCAATCTCCGAGGTTTTATAGGCGCCAGGGTTGATCTCTCTGTTATGGGACGGTTTTGGATCGAGATTATGTTATTGGTCTTTAACCCACTGCCGTACGCGTTCTTCATCTCCATCGTTGCCTCTTGGATCTCGCATAGACATTTTCTCCTCAGACAACGATTGTTCGATTGCGCTGATCTTCGCTGTTGCCATAGCGGCACGTTGCTGGGCTTTCAAGACTGCCATTTCGTGATCGCGTTGGGCTTTCAAGGCTAAGCTTCGTTGTTTCTCTGCCGCTTCGTGTAGCTTGATTTCGTTTTCTTTCTCCGCGATCACAAGGTCGAATTCTGCTTGTTCTTTTTCCGCGGCTGCGTCAGCCATTGCCTTCAGCTTGATCGCTAATAGAGAACTCCTGGAACTACGACTTGACCTCTTTGACGTGGTTTTCGTGGAAGGAGTAGGTTCGTTGTCGTGGGAAGTCGATATTATAGGTTCTGTCGTTTTGGTAGGGTTTTTAGGCAACAGTTCAGCTAGCTGGTTGTCGGCGCACTTTATTGCATTACTAGCGGGGTCTCGTATCTTGGGACCTATGCTATCGCATTCTCCCCATCTATCGTTCGTAAACAATGTTTCTAAATCTTGGAACGAACTTCGATATCCTCTGATTGTTACTTGTAGCGTTATATGAGCTTGTTCTACATTTGAATTCTCTTCTTGTACTTTTTCTCGAGCTTCTTCAACTGCACGTAAAAGCGCTTTTGTCTCCTTGTCGAAGGCGGCTACTTTGTTGTCTAAGGCATATTTAAATCCTCTCCACGTCTGCAAGCGTTCCCGTGGGCGGTCACGGCTGTCTGGGTCTGCCGTTTGAATGTCGTAATCGACAGCTTTCGAGTGAGAATTCGACGACATTCGACTCATCTTTTACATTTTACAAACGACGAAAGACTCGCTTGATCCTTTAGACTTTTTACTATCGCGTCTTTCGATTAAAATTAAGAACGAAGTAATAACCGAAACACATTCTGCACGTAGTATTTATTAATATAATATACAGTCCAATTACAGACGGAGATTAACGAACAAAATAACACTAAGACAATGTAGGTGTGTTTTCGGTAAAAAGTCTAAGTTGTCTGTCCCGAGTCTATATCCAAGATAGTTCAATAGTAGAGTGATAATGGTCTAACTCAGACGACTGTTTAACGATAATGACAAAAACAACTTGGTAAAGTCTGGTGCAATAACAAGAATGCTAATTAAACATGCATAATGAATTAATTACCAATACATAATGACGTCGATTAGTAACGCCGGAAATATAATTAAGCTAACGTTTAAATAAGGTTTGAATAAACCATGACATTGACCATTCGTTAAAGTTTGGGGGGGGGGGAGGGGGGCAAAAACATTTAGGCCCCCAAGCTAAAAAAATGGGGGCACGGGCCCCCAACCCCCGTTTCCGACGCCCCTGTCCCTATTAGATGGAAACAAGCTGACACTACATGCAGTATTCCATTAAAACAACAAAATTACGTTGAAGATATAACGAAAGACTTACGTCCAATCTCATTAACAGCAACCCTGTCTAAAGTTAGTGAACGTTTTTGTTACAGATTGGCTAATAAAGACCATATGGGATGCGATTGATAAAAGACAATTTGGTTCGATACCCAACTCTTCTACTTCCCACGCCCAATTAAGTGAAGGTAGTCACCCCGTCTTATTATCTGATTTTTGAACATTTTCTGAAAAAATTTTTTTTTGTTATTTTGAGCCCATTAACTATTGTACATTAAGACTGCATGGTTGATTTTTTTCAAAAAAATCTAAATTAGGTGAAAAAAGCTCTCAAAGTTACCTTGTTTGAAAATTTACCCCATAGCAACGCCCTAGCAACGCATTTAGGTACAAAATTCACTCAAAATTTCGTCCAAAAATCACTTCAAACAAGTTTCTTTATGTTTCTCCTTTTGGTGTATGTGATTTAGAATCTTCTGACTTAGCTGCATTGCGATTGGTTGCTTTGGGGAGCCATGGCAACGCGATTTCTTTGTCTGTCTTGTGATCGATGCATTTGCATTCACTCTGAAATTATCGACAAAAATCTTAGTTTTTTCTTAAATTCCAAGTCGAAAAGTTGCTGTTCTAGTTTCCCAAAGATTCGTTTTGTTATTTGGATTGTAATTTGAAGTCAATAAATGAAAAATACGAAGAACAGAGCGATAAAATCCGCCTTCGAAGACGGCGAAGAAATTCAAACATGGCGAATCTCGTGACAAAGAAGCTGGACATTCCAGAGCGAAAATTGGCTCTCAGACAGCAAACTTTGGTGTTAATACCGAAATTATATAGCCACTACAAGGAAAGGAACAGTATTTATGGATTGGTCAATTTTATTTGGTGTCTTTGATAACATTTTGAAATGTCCTGACAGTGGAGATGAACATGGATATTCTCATTACATTGTTTTACAGTTTGTGTGCATAAAAATAGTTCTACCCAGAAAACTTTCGGATGGAAAAGGAATATCTGGTAAAGGTCAGCTTACTGATGGTAAAATAGATGTTCTAGAAAATTATTACGGTCTGGCAAACAGAGAAGCCAAGCTGTAAAGGCATCTCTTCTCCATGTTGATTCGACTGATGAGAACCCGCAGCATCATCTTTGCCCGAAAGGAAAGTTTGTGTGGCTATCAAAGAGATAGCGAAACATATAAACACAAGAATGGTATTTCAAAGCCCATTGTTGAGTTGATTATATTTGCTGATTTGGCTAACACTGTCTTGTTGAATAAATCACACATAGCTTGACCCAGAATGCAAATGAATGTTTGGGCGGGGTCATCTGGGACTGATGTCCAAAGTCTACCTATGTAGAGCAGGAAAGAGTAGCTCTTGTCACCTATTTAGCAGTCCTAAAATTCAATGATGGGGACATTTATTTCCTCAAAATTTTTGAAGATTTGGATATAATGCCTGGATTCTTCACTCGTAAAGGTGCCCAAGACTGCGACAGAGCGACGATCAAGCTGTCGGCCCAAAAGAGCTCAGAAAAGGTGAAAGTAAGGAGAAAGTCACTAAGACACCTCAGAAAGAAGTATTTAGATCATGCTGAGGGCATGGAAAGTGTAACTTATGAAGCAGATAGCTTCTGAACCTTTGTAATGTAAGAAAAACATGAATGAGAACTTTAAATTGGATTTTCTCAGTTTCGCAATTTGACATGTGTCAGTGATCTTTGTGATACTGTAATCTTCTAACTATTCATTGCAGAAGGTTAATATTTGGCATACTTACTGACTGTAACATTGTCTAGTAACTGTCATTCTTCAATTTTCAATATTTTTGATCCTTAATGAATTATTTGCAAATTACCTTCAAAAGTACCAGATTAAAAGTTGAAATAATTGAAAATTCCAAAATTTGACACTAAATTTTTTTAAAAACCATTTTGAACAAAATTAAAGAAGGTCAGTTACTAGATCAGGTTCTAAGCTTTTTAAAAATATATCATTTATTTGATTCTGATGACTGGTTCTTGAGATATCATGTTTACGACGCTGGGCAATTATGGGTTAATTAACGGCCGCCATATTGGATAATTAGTGTAATTAACGACTTTGTTAAAAAATTTTTGCATTGGTCATTTTCTTTCACCTGACCCTTTCAGAAAATGATATTTTTGCATAAATCTACTTAAAAATTAAAAAAAACGTTTCAAGAGGGGTTGACTACCTAGTGAAACTGACAGAACCGGGAAGGCAGTAAGAGTGTTTTTGCTTGACTTCTCTAAAGCCGGTTACAGACGAGCAAGTTTTCTATGACAAGTTTTTATGTGACAAGTTTTATTTTTCAAGTGCACGTGTGTATATGCAACAAATTTTATATGACAAGTTTAATTTCATATGACAAATTTTATTTACTGGTGGGAACGTGTCAGAAAAAGGTGTTTATCGCCGCCATGACAGAAAAATTATAATAGTCCGCTGGCCATTCACATCAAATGCTCAGATTACTTTGACAAGTTTTCTTTGTTGACCCATACAGACGAACAAAATTTGTACTTTGACAATTTTTTCTATGACAAGTGCACTTGTTGTGCACTTGTCATACAAAATCTTGTCAAAGTTGCGCGTACAGATGAGCAAATAAAACTTGTCACATAAAAACTTGTCATAGAAAAAATGGATAGCATGTGTGCGACATCCAATTTTGCTAGAATGTCTGTCAACTCTGATGATCTTTCAACAGAAGATCGTACGTTTGAAAGTCTGAAGGAAGCGAGTGAGTTTCTTACAGAAGATCGTGCCATGGAAGAAAGTGAGCATGTAATGAAGGATAGAACTGGAGAAGTTAAAGAAGTTGAACGTGTTCAAGTTGATCGTGAAAACACGGATGAAGATCTAAAACACCAATTAGAAAGGCTGTGGAAAACAGACTTCGAAGGTTCCCTGGTCGAAACCAAAGTGTGCCCGTCGGTGGAAGATAAGAAAGCGCTACAAATAATGGAAAAAACACTGAAGATAGTGGACGGTCATTTTCAAGTTGCTCTGCCATGGCGGAATAATCCACCATATTTGCCCAATAACAAGATGGTAGCAGAAAGACGGGGTTTGCTTCTAAAAAAACGCCTCCTCCGCGATGACGAGCTGTTGAAAAAGTATCGGACAATGTTGAATGAGTACCTAGAAAAGGGTTACGCTGAGAAAATCCCTAAAGAGCAATTGGACATGGAGAACAGACCGATCTGGTATCTCCCGCACCACCCGGTTACGCATCCCCTGAAGCCCGAAAAGGGTCGAGTGGTATATGATTGTGCAGCAAGTTATGGGCGAACGTCGTTGAATCAACAGCTCTTGCAAGGTCCAGATCAAACAAATCAACTGACTGGCGTGCTTATCAGATTCCGAGAAGAATCTGTTGCAATGGTTGCAGATGTAGAAGCAATGTTCCACCAGGTCTTGGTGGAACCCCGCGATTGCGATGCACTACGGTTCTTATGGTGGCCGAGCGAAGATCTTTTTGGCGAGATGGAGGAATATAGAATGAAAAGACACCTATTCGGGGCTACGGCTTCGCCTAGTGTTGCTAATTTCTGCTTGCGTAAAACAGCAGAGTTACATCAAGATGAATTTAACCCTATGGCTATAGAGACGGTGAAACGTAATATGTATGTCGATGATTTGATGAAATCATCGAAGGAAACAAGCGAGGCGATAGGCTTAGTGAGTCAACTGCGCCATCTACTCGAAAAGGGCGGTTTCCGTCTCACAAAATGGTACAGTAATAGCAGAGAGGTGATGAAAACGATTCCCGAAACAGAAAGCGCCAAATCTGTGAAAGATTTTGAATTGGACCGGTTGCCTACCGAAAGCGCTCTTGGCATCAAGTGGAATACCGAAGAAGATAAATTTGAGTGGGATGTCTCGGAGAAAATGTTGCAATTAGTAAACGAAGCTTCGGTCACTCGGCGAGCGATCGTATCAGCTGTTTATTCACTCTTCGATCCTTTGGGGTTTATTGCACCCTACGTAATGAAAGCTAAGTTGTTGCTACATATGTTATGTAGAAAGGGAGTTGGATGGGACGATCCACTTCAAGAAAACGAGAAGGCGCAATGGAAACGATGGTTGGCTGACCTTCCAAAGTTACAAGCAATACGTGTAGATCGCTGTTTCAAACCCGTTGGATTTGGCGTCGTCAAGGAAATACATGTACAGCTACACCTCTTCTCAGACGCCTCGCGACTTGGCTACTCGGCAGTTGCATAATATACCTCCGTTTAGAAGATACCAATGAACAGATTCATTGCGCATATGTTATGGGAAAAGCTAGGCTTGCTCCCTTACGAGAGATTTCAATTCCAAGATTGGAACTAACCGCTGCAGTTATCTCCGTGAGACTTTCCAAGATCATACAAGAAGAGTTGGACCTGGAGATAGAAAGAATTCACCACTGGACAGATTCGATGTCTGTCCTGAAGTGCATTAACAACGAAAGCAAGAGATTCCACACCTTTGAATCCAACCGCCTGACAGTAATCCGCAGTGGTTCTGATCCCTCCCAGTGGATGTATGTGAACCGAGATGACAACCCTGCCGACGACGGTTCCAAGGGAGTTAAATTGGACGCCATGACATCTAATGATCGGTGGATAAATGGTCATGAGTTTCTTTTGAACGACGAAACCCACTGGCCTACGATGATTCAAGTCCCGGTTTTGAAGTCTGATGACCCCGAAGTGAGAAAGGAAGCTCAGATTTACGCAACCACAGTACGATGTAACGTCTTGGAGATGTTGATCTCACATCACTCCAGCTGGTGGAAGTTGAAATGCTCGGTTGCATGGTTATGACGCTGTAAAGAATGTCTTCGAGCCAAGGTGAAGCTAAAGAAGAGCTCAGTCGTGGTCGATACTGTAGTCGTCTCAACAGCGAATGTTGGACGTCTTACGGTAGAAGAATTGAAGGCGGCTCAAGATGAAATCCTTCGATATGTACAACTGACTGCGTTCCCAGAAGAATTGAAGATACTCACGGTTGCTGAACGTGCTAACAAAACCGGATAAAGTATTCCTCCGGAGGACAGGAATGTCACTTCGTCAGTATGAACCCGAGCGAAACACCGAAGAAGGGGAGAGAACAAGACCAATACAACGGTACTAACACGGCCTGTGGCAAAGTTGTGTTTGCTTGAAATGGACGGAGAGTAACCTAGCTAGGACTATGAATGAGCATGTTGAACTAAACAGTGAAATTTGACAATTTATATTATATTTGTGTTATAGGTTGAGAACGGTAGCCTTCATGGAGTTAGTAAATGGACTATTAGTATATGCCCATTTAGGGGCCGGTGTAGCTACCGTATGGATTTTCCCGCCTTGCGCATGCGCAGTGGACGCATTTTTGGCATGGCAAATAGGGCGGCCATGTTGTCTGTTTAGTTTTTGTTTAGTCGTAGAACCAAACGGTTCTAAAAGTAAAATTTGATAATTTTAACGTAAGATTTGTATAATGTGACGTTTGTTTCAAATATATGATAATTTTATTCAACATCAGGTGCTATAGTCGGACTATAGTAACACAGTTCATGCAAATATACTCGCACAATAATGTAGAGTAAACTAAATTGATATAATAATAAGATCAAGGAATAATAAACCGATAATAACCGATTGTTAACACTGTACTATAAAGAAACCGATAACTCTAATATGTAATCCTTGCAGACCTTGCTTATTTGGCACTTTGCTTGCGTATGCTGATGTATCCGAACGAAAAAACTGAGTCAACTATAACTATCACGGTTCAGTGCTTCTTAATTATTTATAGGAGAGGCAAAGAAGTTAAACAAACTAAAAACTGAACTGAATGAGGTTGCGTATCTTGGATGGAAAATCACAAGAAGCTGGAAACATGGGCTTAGCCAGAGGCCCGTCCACCCGTCTTTTGGACGGGTACTTGTGAACCTGGCAGTTGATGTTAAAACTCTACTATTTTGTCCGAAGTAATAAGGACAACCGTATAAGCTTAAATTTTGCTATCACATCACATTAAACAGTCACTGCACATCCCTGCACATACATCCACAAACAAACAAGCTACAATTTCCTTTGTATATGAAATATATATAAGTATTTTACGCTGATTTTAAGAATAACTTCGGCGGTATGTTAGTGAGGTAACCAAGCTGTTTGCTCTTCAGTTTTGAGTGAATGAGTGTAGTTTTACACGTGTTCTTTTGACTGCTAAGAATGACGTTTTTAGAAGATAAAGATTAAAGATCTGATTTCAACACTTTTTGGGGCCGGAAGGAAGACGTGGTCGAGCATTTGTGGACGGATACATTGCTAGTCCTGGCTATGTCCCTAGCTGAAATGCTCTAAAACCACTAGAACAGAGGAAGACTTATCGCGAATGCGTAGTGCCAGAGCATGACTGCGCCGATCGACTACATAAATTTAGGTGTGTCAAGAAACTAGAAAAATGTAGAAGGCTTATATAACTAACAAGACGTACGATCAACGTAGCCTGCGTAATGCACAAATGAACCATGAAATGAACGTGGTCATAATATGTACTAATATATATGACGGCAAGTCAACAATAATAACTTATTAGTTAATGCTTAATCCTTTTGTTGTCACAAAAAGGGGCAACCAGTTGCCCCGCACTGCCCCCGTACTGTTAGAGCAGCGGGGGCCATTGCCCGCGCTGCCCCCGTGGCTCCGGCGCCCATGTCCACAGGGAACAGTTTTAGGACCGACACTTTTCCTTGTGATGATGAATGATCTTTCGTCATGTTGGGCTGACCGATGGAAATTCATCGATGACAGTACAGTCACAGAAAGCATCCCGCGCAATTGTGATAGTAACTTACAAAATCTTGTTAATGAAATCAATGGCTCGACAATTCAAAACAAAATGAAACTCAACGTATCTAAATGTAAAGAATTAATTGTTGATTTTTCAAACGATAAAGCTCCTGGCCCTGATGGACTATCTAACTGGTTGTTCAAGGAGTATGCTGAGATTTTGGCGGAACCAGTTGCTAATATTTTGAATTCATCTTTTAAGGACCAAAGTCTTCCAAGGGTTTGGAAATTGGCTGACGTATGCCCGCTTCCCAAAGTCAAACGTGTCACGAACCCCCAATCGGAACTTAGACCAATTTCCTTAACCTGTTCTCTATCAACAGTGGCCGAGGAATTCATTGTAGCTGATTACATTAAACCTGCTGTGACCAAAATAATCGATCCCAATCAATTTGGAACAATCCCAGGTTCTTCAACGGTTATGGCCTTAATTAGCATGGTCCACAAGTGGCTAAAAGAGTCTGACGGCACTGGCTCAACAATTAGAGTTTTGTTATTCGATTATCGGAAAGCTTTCGATTTGATAGACCACTCTACCCTTATTGAGAAACTTCGTCAATTGGACATTCCCAACAGCGTCATCAATTGGATCATGAGTTTTCTATCGGGTCGATCTCAGAGGGTTAAACTGGAACGGGACTGTTTCTCAGAGTGGGGAGCCGTACCTGCAGGAGTTCCTCAAGGTACGAAGTTGGGCCCCTGGCTGTTTCTGATAATGATTAACGATCTTTCAATTTCTGGAGACCCCTTTGATATGTGGAAATACGTTGACGACACGATTGTATCTGAAGTAATAGCCAAAAATAAAGATTTAAGTGACGCACAATCGGCTGTCGATCAGGTATCTGAATGGTCAAAAAGGAACATGCTTCAACTTAACTGCAGGAAATGTAAAGAGCTACCTATTACCTTCAGTCGGTCTCGGAATTTGCCATCTCCAGTCAATGTTGAGGGGTCCACCATTATCCCAGTGAGCAAGGTAAAGCTACTCGGCGTAACGATTAACAGCACCCTTACGTGGAATGATCATATCGAGGAAATAGTAAAGAAAGCATCTCGCAAGCAGTATTTTCTTGTGCAGCTTAAGAGAACGAAAGTCCCAGCAAAAGAAATAGTCGCCTATTACTGTGCATGTATCCGTTCTGCAATCGATTACGCATGCCCTGTATTCCACTACTCACATATTCCACTACTCACGTATCTGGAGAGGATTCAGAAAAGAGCACTAGCCTGCATTTACCCAGGAAGGCGTTACGAAGACGCCCTATCGCTCGCTGGCCTAGCATCTATACATGATCACCACGAATCTTTATCTAAATCACTCTTTAGGTCAATTGTAAGTGACTCTAAAAACAAACTGCATGCTCTACTACCGCAGAGAAATAACAATGCCAAATATTATTTTAGGAAACGTAGAACTTTTAATATTCCAACTGCAAAGACCAAACGCTATGCTCAGTCATTCATAATGCATAGTAGTAAGCTTTATGATGACATATAGTGAAATGGTGATTTCAATACTTGTATATAGTTAGTAGTTTAACTGTACATAATCGTAAATTAAGATAAATTTTAGTATTCTTATGTATTATTATATCTATATTGAACGACTTTTATATAATTGTAAAGTTACGCAATTCAGTAGTACCTGCAATGTAACTATCATTTAATAAAACTATCTATCTATCTATTTCTGCCTTTGGATATCGGAGGTGTCTTGGTCGAAAGGGTAAAATCTGCTCGTGTGCTGGGACTTATTATCCAAGACGATATGAAATGAAACGAACATGTTGAAATGAACATGAAGAAAGCAGGCAAAGGTTGTACATGTTGAGAATATTAAAACGATCAAATGCTACTACTAACTCTTGACGAAGGGCCTTCGCTCGAAACGTCGAATTTCTGCTTATTTTTTAAGGTAGTAATATAACCACTCAGCATAACATAGATACGTTATTAACAGGTATATACCACAGTAATTACGCCGGTGCTTGAATATGCTTCCCATGCAGGTGTAGCATTTTAATATTCCTGACTATATTTATGCGAGGAAGTCCTGCAGAATGCACTCGCATTGGGAATAATTGTACCTTCTTTGAGTTATAGCGAAGCTTTGGGCTACACGAAAATGTTAACTTTGAAGGATCGCCATGACAAACTATGTGATAAATGTTTTAGAAACAACCAATGCTAATTTGAAATTACAAGACTTTTTACCGAATAGAATTTTAACTAATTATGAACTAATTAAGAAGTAATGGATTTTATGACCATTAATTATCTCAAGAATTAACGTTTTAAAAACTCGTTTTTACCGCAATGTGTCATTTATTGAAGTAATATTGTAAGTAGTCTCTAGTTATTGTTGTAAATTTTTATAAGCACTGATGTAATTTAACCGTTTTAGGTTACAAAATCGGTACGTACCTTGCATCCCAAAGTCTGAATTGCGTATTTACAAAACGAATTAGTTATGGTAAATATTTACAATAATAAAATTTCAATAGTATAGATATCCAGGGTCGTGCCCCAATGAAAAGTCACGAAGGGGCCCAAATTTTTCTGGAGTACATGAAAATATTTAATTTCAGGATATTTATGGCGGGGGTTAACTATAACCCAAACTTTAGAGAGTTCATTCGGATTACCATAATACAGCAAGTGTATTACATAATACAAATTTTCAAGTAACCATAATACAAATTTTAATACATTTTTATTACAATAAAAATTTGGCTGTCAAAATAGTTGCTGTCCCTTTTGTCCTCCGATTTTCGATAGTATGATTAAATTAAAACAACAAACAACACGTGACCAACATTTGAACTTTTCTTCAGGTGGCAATAACTCGTCCCACTGATAACCAGCGGCCCATAGATTCTAGAGATCATCAATTCGAAACCGAATTGTAACTGGCGCCATCAATCCTAACGGATCCCACAGTTCAGACACCACACCAAGAGGTTTTCGTTTCGTACAATAACTGAGATCTGCAAGCACTTCTCTCTCTTCAAAGCAATTGCTATCAGCTTTCTTATTCCATTGATGACCCAGTAGACTCACCGGATTATCGTTGCCATCTTGATCAATCTTCGGGCTGTTGCTGTGCCACGCCTTGATGGCAAACTTGCCTTTGCCCAAAATGGTATCGATAGCATCGATCACTTTCTTGACTTTCTCTGGTGCATGATGTCTCCGACCCAGCGACGTCACAACATAAGTATGATCCTTTAGGATTCTTGCTGCTTCTGGAGATTCGACTTGAGCTTTATCAGAGAGACGATTAATGGCATTGATGGCAAGGTCTGGAGCTGGCTTATCCCCAAAACTAAGACGTACCCACTGATACACATCGGGCTCTCTGTCAGCTTCTCCGTCTCTCCACAATAATCTGTGGTATTTCTGATCATCCGGATGGACAGGGATCTGATTAAACATCTTCGAGACGTCTCCAGCAAAGGAGACTTCATTCTGTCTCCAGCCAATCAACACATCAAATAGAGAATTCATGGTCCTTTTTCAAGATCATCCATTTTGGCTGCTGCATCGAAAATTTAAACTAATCTGCACTTCTCCAATCGGTAGAAACCAAGCCGGCTCCTCTGGGTCTACTTCCACTTGTTTCAGCTCAGGGGCGAAACTAGCCCCTTTTAATTCGGGGGGTGTCTGCCAGAATTGCCCTGTCAAAACCGATGATGCCCTGCAGCAAATTTTTATTTCTGGCCACTATTTTTCCCAAAAATGTTGGCGAGCAGGGGTGGGGTGTGGGGTGTGGTGTGGGGGTTGAAAAATGTTTTCCGGACATTAAAAAAAGGGTCGAAAAATTTTTCCCGACACAAACCGGTTAAATTAAGGGTCAAAAAAAATTTTCCGTACAAATTCCTGTTAAAACATCGATGAAACCCTTATTTTTGGACCAATATCTGTACAATTTAGGTCTATAAATTCTATTCAATTCCCTCCGAAAGCCCTGTAAGTTACTTAATAACTCTACATTCTATTATTTAAAATCTTTGATTGCCCTGCCAATCCAGATGATTCGCCCTGCCAATCCAGATGATTCGTTTGTTGTTGTTGTTTTTTGTTGGGTTTTTTTCGCCCCTGTTTCAGCTTGATGACCACTTCTCTGTTGACCAAGGCTTTTACTTCCTTGTTAAACGCCTCCAACTTTCCTATCTTTACCAGCTGCCTTTCTTTCGACACCATTCGTTCGAAGGCGACAGACCGGTTATTAGGTAGATGGGATGTCCTGGTTTCCAAGGCATTCGTACTTCAATTCTTCCATCATCCAAAACTCGACTCCCAAACGTGTCGAATACTCGAAAGAATGCACATTCTCGCATTTCCTTCTCAAAGCACATAACAGCTACCTCCTTCGCAGGCCATACAGCCCAATAATACAGCCCGTAATGAGTATGCCCGTTCTCAGGTTGAAATTTGAGACAAAGGCTTGCGTAGCTGTAGGGCCTGCTGAATAACATGTCGATTACTTGGCTTTTAGTGTCGATTACTCGGTTGGAGTATTTTTGAAAGGCCTGCGGAGGAGGTAGACATAACAGGACGTTATCTTTAAATCAAACTCCGCAGAATCTTCAACTCTAATTCCACCGCCCGCAACATACATCTTCATCTTTTTTTGTTTCTCCGACCAAACCGAGCTTGTCCGCACTCTTTCCGAATGTGACTCTTTTTAGAACCACTATCAACCATGCATGGCAATTCCCTCAATAGAATTCCCATTTGCACTTTGACCTTTCGAGTTGGTACATTTGCAGTTCCTGCATTACCAGCTGAAATAGCACTAACCTGGTTGTACTTTCCCTTGCCTGTAGCACCCTCTTAATCTGGTTTGAATGGTTGTGCATCAGGGTTCAGGTTGCCATTGTCCACTTGTTTTGGATCTTTATGCAATAGGTAGTGATGTGGTCTTCCACAGCTGTTGATATCACATGCCTTTCGTGAACACTGTTGATGTCGGTGTCCCGTTCGCAGACATTTTTACATCTCTTGGACTGAATCACCAGTTCCCACTTTTCCTTCACTTTCATCTTCTTATTAATATTGATCTGGCATATTTCGCCCAAAATAATGACTTCTCATTTCGATCTATTAATCAAACTATTATAACTGTTGTGAACTCTTCGCAACAAAAAGACACGGACATTATTTTAAGGCTTATTTCGTACAAATTTTAATACATTTTTATTGTATTCTTTGGCTGTCAAAATTGTTGTTGCTCCCTTTTGTCCTTCGATCGTATGATTAAAACAACAAACAACACGTGACCAAAATTAACATAATTTTAATTAAAAATATCAAATAAAGGTAAAATAATTAGCATGCATCGGTCAATGTACCATTTTAGGGGTCAAAGATGTGTGGCGCCATGCCCCTCCCCCCGGCCACGGCGCCACTGCGTACGTTGAACTACAACGGCGGAATACAAAACATTTTAGCGCGCAAAGCATCACGGTTGACTGTGATTCTTTACGTTATTAAAAATGTAAATAATCAGAAATTGCTCTGTAATCAAAAATAGCTTTGAGATGCATTTCCGACTCGGCGTTCGGAAATCTCCGAATGGATACGCTACTCTTGGTAAACATCGAACGATCACGTGACCGCGGTGTTTCAACCCTTCCACACACGTAAAAACGCACAAGTTTTCGGTGATATTAACCAAATCAGAAGCCCAGACCAATGCTTCGTTTAAAAGTTTTTCGGAAATTGATGGGTAAAAATCCACAATGTCAAACGAAATAAAACTGTGCCTGTCTTTATCGTTTATATTGCCAAACCATGAAATTACTTGTTGCGTGAATATTCCTCCATTGATTTGAATTTAGTTTTTGTCTCAAATTGGAAATGATTTTATCTAAAATAAGCTTACTTAGTTTTCCGGATTCGCTTTTTGCGGGATTAATTAATCGGCATTTTGGATTGTTCTCGAAATTTTCTTTGTGATCTTTTAAAGATATAAATGCTTCGCGTTTTTTCATTCGTTCAATTCTGTCTCCAATTCCTAACCTACTCGAAATTTCTTTCAATTCTGAGTCAATTTCATCTATAAAATCCTCTGATCCATGTTTGTACGTTTTCGTGATGTTGTCGTGTAAGAGTTCGTTGTATGTGTTCAGTGACGTTTCGTAAATGTTTCTAGTTTTGTCCGCGAAAATGAAAATATTGGGGGAAGAATTAATTTTCTTCAAATCGTTGGCCAAAGATGTCGGAAATTGGTCTTTAGAACGCCGGAATTTTACGTTTTCAATTAGTTTTATCAAGTCGTCTTCGAAAGGTTTCAAAAGTGGAATTAAAGCAGAGTTGCAAAACCTGTTCAAATTTCCTCCGGGTAAAATTTAAAGTTTTCAAACCTTCCTCAAAATAAATACTAAAATATGGCTTCATCAAATATCACTATACTAGAGTATATAAACTTTATAACTGATTCTGAAAGCATAAAGTTTGAAAGAGATGTGTCATTAAATGCAGTACATGATTCTAATATATAATTTGCCGTAATAGATTTATACTTTGGACAAATTGGACAGTCCTTACCTACTATATCTACATCCTATATGATGTATTGATGGTTTCTATATGATGGTTTCTATATGTGATGGTTTCTATATGTGATGGTTTCTGAATCTGTAATAAAAAGCACAACAGCACACACATAAAAATTGAGAAAATTAACAACTTGTTCCCGGGTGATATTGACAGGTGTGATCAAGGTTGTGCTGCCCACTATGAACAAGTTGTCAACAAAACTTGCAACAACATTGTTGACAACTTGTTCATAGTGGGCAACACAACCTTCCTGTTGATATCAACTGAAGTTGTTGATTTTATGCCTGTACACATATTATATAGAGGGCAGCAGTAAAACCATGGCAACAACATTCCAGAGGTGGTATTTGATGTTTCTGTGCTTGTGGCATTTGAGAGTGTTTAGGTATTTAGACGTGTGACCCAATCATGCCCCAATTTCACAGTCAGCGAGGCAGCAAATGCTCTCACTTGTTTCCGAAGCAAGGTGCTAAATTTAAACCATGCAGTATAGTGCCCTGCATGGCGGTTTATAATCAATGGCAATGTATGGAATGGTTGAAAATCAATGGCAATGGCAATATGATCTCTATAGCAGATGCTGCCAATCCTGCCATATACTTATGGTTATCTTATATAGTTTGTGGGAATTGACGGTGTAGGTATCAGGTATGTAAACAATGATTTCGATTATAGGACCTTGATACATTTTGTCGATCTGTGTTAAATATGTATGACAGCTACACACCTCAGACTCACATCACACATGCTAAAATTTCTTCCTCAGCTTTATTTATAATTTTTGTGGCAGTTTACAACATTTCACCGTGGCCATATTTATATAATTATTACAACGTTTAGTTGCTACAGCAATGATGGTTTATTTAATTTATAACTATTAATTATTATCTAACTCATTGGAATCATGTAATCAAATAATTAATCTTTGAATAATATAATAATGTTCAAGGTGAATTTCTTATTGTAACCATGATGAATAGCTCTTTGTAATAGCCTCCTGTTATTTGCGGTGCAATGGTTCAAGGCGCCTCTGATACTTGACACTTATACATTTTAATTTTACAGAATATTTTCAGTTATTGTGTTCTCGGTATTCTGCAATGGCATAGTCATATGTTATAGGTACTATATCACAATAGTACCACCACAACTTGTGAGCCTCAACTGCCTATTTAACTATGATTTATTTGTTCCACTTTTTCGGTGTTAGCGACTGTTGATTACTAAACCTTCCTCACTGACCTCACCTATGGTAAACCATCCTCACGGGTAATGCCCGCAAGCCCGCAGCTGTTTTGCAACTCTGAATTAAAGGAGGCGATTTGTTAGACGAAAGGCCGAAAAGGTTGCTTTGGTTTTGAGTTGTTGATCCTTTTAGGAAGAAATTAGCTTTCCATCTCATACGTTTTGTTACGCTTTCCACTTTTTCAATCAAATTATTTAAGTAAGCATCCTGTGATGGTATAGGAATATTCTTTAGTGAATAATCGAATCGAAATTGCCGCATGTTTGAAGTAGAAATAAAATGAATAAGCCAATCACAGAATACGGAAACTGACAACTGTAACTGCGACAACAAAAACACTTGCCCACTACCGAAACAATGTATGACCAACAACATTATTTACAAAGGCCACAGTCACAACGAACAACACGAACGATACTAAACACTATACATTGGTATGACAGGGACTACATTTAAGGAACGTTACGCTAACCACACTTCATCTTTTCGTCATAAAAAAGCCTCGAACAAAACGGAACTTTCGAAACATATTTGGAAATTAAAAGAAACAATCAAGATTACACCATCAAATGGTCAATTTTAAAACACGTTATTTCGTACACAGGGGTCAAAACGCTGCAATTTATGTTTGGAAGAAAAATTTTGCATTTTGAAAGACATAAACAAAGATAATTTACTGAATAAAAGAAGCGAAATTTTCGGCAAGCGTCGTCACAAAAACCGGTTTCGAGTAAACAAGGTCATTAACAAAATTTTATGACCCAAGCATTGTTTCGACTAAGCACTGTTTCGCCTAAGCATCAATTGTTTCGAATAAGCATTGTTTCGCCTACACGCATTCTTTCGATAGTATAAAAGCAACCTACACATACACACATACACACATACACACATACACTCATAGAAAAATGGAAAAAATTTCTCGAACTCAAATTTTGTAAACCAGGGGGGGGGGGGTGTCTTTTCCAACAAACTAAAAATGGCTTGCGCACGAAATTTAAAAGCTTTAATCATATTTTGAGTTGATAGATGGAACATTTGTTGGGTTTTTAATTACTGTACAAAATTTCAGACAATTTGCTTTAGTTTAAGCCCTTTAACTATTCATTTTTCTCTAAAAAATTAGCCTTTCGCATGCTTAATTAATGCCTTTACCTAATTTGCATATTGCTGACATAAGAAAAAATTAAGAAAAAATGAATGGTTAAAGGGCGTAAACTGAAGCAAATTGTCTGAAATTTTGTACAGTAATTAAACACCCAACAAACTTTCCATCTGTTAACTTCAAATATATATATATATATATATAATTACTTCGCCAATGAACTCACGAGTCGTTTTTTAAGCCATTTACAAAAAAAAAAAAAAACAATTTACAACATTCGCGTATATGTATATGTATATGTATGTATATGTATATGTGTATATGTATGTATATGTATAAGATTTTAAAAAAGATTGTCCTTCTATAAATTAATTCAAAAAAGGTTGTCCTTCAAAAAGTCTTTAACATTGATTTTCAAAGTCTTTAACACATATTTATTAAAAGCAGACGTTTTGCCTGTTCAGGCTTCCTCAGTGCTAACAAGCAGTGGCGTAGCAAACTCGATAATTGGAGGGGGCAATATTCATATATTCGTGTTCTGCCTTATTAATTTCTTTTGAAATCAAATGTTTTCAAGGTCTGTGAACACGAATATATGAATATTGCCCCCCCCCCCCAATTATCGAGTTTGTTACGCCACAAGTTCTATGTATATATTAGCTATAACGTAACGTGAATACATTTTGAGGCCAGGCTCTTGAACACAAATCGTGAAATCGTCATGGATGTTTTCACTTTTTTCCATTAAAATGGAAATTTAACGTGTGTTCCGCAAGCAAATTACTTTCACTGAAGCTACAATCACATTGCGAACACACATAGCTACATATCTCCTGAGCAGAAGAATTATCGTTTGTGTGCCCGTGCGTGCAAACATGTGTTTTGTTATGACTTGCCAATAATCTCACTGTAGAAAAGGATTTACTACAGGTTTCACAAACATATTCTCTTTCTCTGCTGTGCAATAATTCATGACGTTCCAACTTCACAACTGTACTGAAACGTTTGTTACAAACCTCACAACAGTATTTCTCTTTTGAATGTAGAGCTGCATGTCGCGCCAATTTACTTTCTGTTTCAAACGATTTTTCACATTTGTCACAGTGGAAAGATCTTTCCTTGTTATGAATTTTTTCATGAATCTTTAAATTTCTGGATGTAGAACACGCTTTTTGGCAGATGTTGCATTTGTAAGGAGTTTCTCCGGTGTGCATTCTTTTATGATAAACCAAACCTTTAGGTGTTGCAAATGTTTTGTTACAAATGTCACATTGATGAGGTTTTTCTCCAGTATGTGTTCTTTTATGACGTTTTAAATCACACGATACGGTGAATGCCTTCTGACAAAGATCACACTTGTATGGACGTTCTCCACTATGTATTCTTTGATGAACACGTAAATGACTTGCAGTGGTAAACTGCTTGTTGCACGTCTCGCATTCATGGGGTTTTAGTCCAGAATGGCTCACTTTGTGACGTTGCAGATCATGTAAAGTAAAAAATGATTTCTGACAGAAATTACATTGATGAGGACGTTCATTAAGGTGGGTATTCTTATGCCACTTTAACGAGTTGGATTCGTAAAATGATTTTCCACAAACATCACAGGAAAACGGCATTTCTCCTGTGTGCTTCCGCCTGTGGATAAGAGCATCGTTAGATCTCTGGAATGTTTGATCACACATGGTGCATTCATATGGGCGTTCCCCAGTATGTGTTCTTTTATGACGTTTTAAACCATTTGAATAACCAAAGCTTTTTCCACAAACATCACATATGTAAGGACGTTCTCCAGAATGCGATCGTTTATGACACTTTAAGTCATACATGGTCACAAAGGCTTTCAGACATTGATCACATTTATGTGGTTCTTGTCCCAAATGTCTCATTTTATGAAGTTTTGCTTTATATGACGACGTAAATTCACGCAAACAAATATCACATTGGAATGGTTTCAGTCCTGAATGGGTCAACTTGTGCTTTACCAAAGTTCCTTTTAAAGAAAATGATTTCTCGCATTCATCACATTGATAAGCCTTATTATCAGACCTTTCACCAGAATGGATAGTTTTATGATTTCGCAGGCTGCTTGATTGAGAAAAACCTTTGTTACAAATTTCACATGTGTAAGGACGTTCTCCAGTATGTGTTCGTTCGTGCACTTTTAGGTCACTTTTTGTGCAAAACGATTTTTCACAGGAACCACAAGGATGTGGTCTTTCACCTGAATGTGTCAATTCATGAAGCTTCAATTTCCCTGATGTATAAAATGCCTTTTCACAAATACTACATTTATGCGGTTTAATTCCAGTATGTAATTTCTTGTGCACATTTAAATTAGTCAAACTTTTAAAACATTTCTCACATTCATCACATTGGTGCGACTTTTCAGTAACATGTGTTTTTTTGTGGTTTGCTAAAGCACTGGAGGATGAGAATGCTTTCCCACAGCTATCACATGCAAAAGGTTTTTCTCCAGTATGTGTTCTTTTATGGCATTTTAAATCTCCTGAATAGGCATACCTCTTTGGACATTGATCACACTGGTAAGGTTTGTCCCCTGTATGTGTTCGGTTGTGAGTTTTCAAGCCATCTTTTCGGGCAAATTTCTTGCCACACACCTAGTAAATAGATTTGGCTAAGTATTGAATTCAAATAACATTTCTATGCTGTTGCCTAGGAAAAACTATATACCTGTTTTACGTATTATCCCCCAATTTGAACTTACTAGTCAACAATTTGAACTTATTTTGTCTTCAGTAGTAAGAAAAGTTTATCAGAAAAAGTAGTTTAGTTTAATGAACATTTCAAAACATTTTACGAAGCGTTTCCGGTTAAATTTTACATTAAAACATAGCTGCAGTATTATATTTCGGAAATTCATTGCTGTATATTTATATACATTCATATTACATTCATTGTTGTATATATATGTATATTTGGTCAAGTGTTGCCATGGCCCATGGCAACAAGATCATTTTAAAATTAAATTATTTTTATATCTATTTGTACAAAACGTACGGTTAAAGATGCTGTACAGTCCGTATGTAACCAAAGGCTTTGTTTACATGTCGGTATTCAAAATATTGAATTTTATTCGACAACTATTTATATTTTCATGATTCTAGAGTATAATAAATTATCAATACACAACAATTAAGCTTTGCAAGACCATAAAATGAAATAAAAACCTAAATAAACTGTTTGTATAATAAAAAGAGGGCTTCTTTTGCACATGCGCAGAACGGACTGTACCGCATCTTTAAGTGTTGCCGCAACACTTGACCAAACAATAACCGATTTTCGATTAATAATATTTTATTAATCTGTGACAGAATAGAGACAAACAAGGTAGACAATTTTGAAACGGCTCTCAATTTCACAAATCTGTTCATTTCATGAAATTGTTGATAAATATAGATTGTTTGGATACTTATAATGTAGAATAAATAAATGAACTTTTTCGTAAATATAAATTTTCCAGAGCAGGGGGTCTTTTTTAGCAGCATTAAAAATAGCTTGCGTGCGAAATTTAAAAGCATTTTGAGCTCATGGGCGAGAAATGTGTTATGTGTTTTATGAATGGTCCAAACAACCTCGCAAGCCAGGCGTTCTACTTCCGCTTCCTTCCCCCAACACGCTTCAGCAGAGACCCTGGTTCAGGCTGGTCACGTGACACCTTAACTCACTTTGTCCAGTGGGAGGGTAGGCTGAAGTATATGAAATGCAAAGAACAAGTTTCTGTTTCTAGTCAACAAACAATTTTTGTCCTGCCACAACAAGTTTCAACAAGCCTGTTGTAGGGAAGCAAATCGAAATCGAATCATTCCTCGTTGCAATTGGACGAAATATTACAAACATATCAATCACATAATCATGTTTAGTTGTTTTTGAATTTTGAGCCAAACAAAATTTCGACAATTGCCTCAAACAAAATCAAACAAGTGCAAAGCTGTTTTGATTTTTGAAGAAACTGTGGCAATGAGAACACAAGATCTAGAGCTTAAGAAATGAAAAATACATATGAGCAACCGAGTGTTCACTGCAACGTTCTTCATTGTTGATGTGAATATGAAATTCGTTATATAATTTCTTTCCAATTTCAAGTGAAATCCGCGAGCGGGGAAGACGCCTTATTGAAGGTTTGATCTTTGTGTTTTGTATGTACTATTTTGAAGAAAAATATGCAAGTAGGTTGTCATATTTCGGTCGTACTTAAAGACCAATTAATTTTGAAAATTGTTTACAATAAGAACCTTTCTTTAATTTGTCGTATTTTTTCAGTCGGCTGTTTTGCTCAAAAATTATCTCGCAAGTTTGTTTATAAGTGTTTATATGAAAGTCTGGCTATTTCATGAAACACTACAACCGAGATATGGTAACCTGTTTGGCCGTTTTTTGTTCAAAATACACAAGCTTCATAAGGCGCTTTCCTCAGTTTGCAACAGGTCTGTCACAAGTTGTTGAAAACAGCATTGCTGCAGCTCTGTGTCAACAACTTGTGACAGGCCTGTTGACAGGCCGTTGCGGACCTGTCAGAACAGACAGGTACCAGGCGAGTGAACGCATCCAGATATCGGCTTGTTGCCAACAGGTTTTAACAGATCTGTTGCAGATCTGTTCCGACTTGCGCGAAATTGGCTGTGTATGTGTAAAAGCTTGAATATTCTAAAAATCTTAAATGACAAAATAAAATGCAAAAACTGTTCATGCACTGTCCAAAAACTGGGGAACATAGTGTACTGAAGGATCTTGTAGATGGAAATTATCGAGTGCAAATTTATATACATTTATATTGTTGTAAACCTGCAAAATATGCAACTATAGGTCCCTGGCAGGAATCAAACCAGCAGCCCTGCGATTCTGGTCCTGCGATTCCCATTAATAAAATGTATGTAAATGTCCACGCAATCATCGCCAACTATTTCGGACATTGAGTCAGCAGTGCGCCAGCGGATACCCCCGTAAAAGTCAATATACTTTAGGCAAAGAAATCTATAAAATACATAGGAGTCAAACTAAAAACATCGAATTGACAAAAAGATATTTCGATTATTTTATTTGCTCAAATGGAGTACTATTCCTACATCGCATACAAACAAAACTGTCGAAAAAAATAACAGTTAAAACCTTATTAAGTTTTTCGTTTCGAGATTCAGCTTCTGAACGCTTTACTTCTATAGACTTGTATACTAACTCGGCCGAAATCCGCTCGATTACCGAGTTTCCTTGTTCAATTTTTAAATTTCTGTGACTGCTATGTGATTTGCTCAAATGGAACACCAACCTTGAGGATCCTCGCTAGCTGCTCACAAAAATTGGGCACATAAAACATTAAAGAAGTTTTTCGTATTTACCATCAAATATCATGAATTTTCGTAGACACTTAGAACATTATGCGCTGTTAATATCTGGTCGCATCGCCGCAAATTTTAGTGCGTTTAAAAGCTAAATTGAAGGCGAAATATCACTCGCGGTAGGCTGTACTTGGTACCAAAATGATCGCCACGATGTGTATTTTTCAACCCTGCAAACGCTTCTGGGATGCACGAAACACAATCCGTGCTGCCAGCGGTAGAAGTTGAGCCATTTGGCTGTTGCCAAACTAAAAGGTCAACCAAAGGTCAGCCGTATTAAATAACTTAAAACTCGACGAAATATTGTAATGTTTTCTGTGCTTAAAACCATTTATTTTGACAATAACGACTATTCGAGCGTCGAAATTAAAAGTTTAACCCATAGGCGAAACACTTATGTGTTTCTATTAGAACTGGCTCGTTTATTTCCACTTGGTCATTTCAAAACATTGCAAAACATTGCACGTTACGCACTTCAGGGAGCTTCCGCTGGATAGCAGGATTGACATAAGACCGCAATAGTTGGCGATGAATTTAAAATAAACTTGAAATAACTTGTCCCCGCGTCTGCCCGCGTCCTGCCTCCAGAACGCCCGCGTCTTGCGTCCACTGTGCCCGCGTCCTGCCTCCAGAGCGCCCGCGTCCGGCCTCCAAGACGCCCGCGTCTTGCGTCTGCTCTGCCCGCGTCCTGCCTCCAGAGCGCCCGCGTCCGGCCTCCAGCTAAAAACTGCGTCCGCTTGGACGCAGTCGTCGTAACATAATCGGAAAAACGGACTAATATTTGCATCATACTCGTAGTTTGTCGTGAGAATACAGATCAGTGTCGGTGATCGGAGAAGCAAAGAATAAAAAGTTCAATCCGAAAATGAGTCATTGAAACATTACGCATTACATTTAGTATAACCATTTTTTTACGTTATACTTAATGTAATGCTTTTACAATGCAATCACACGTATTCGAGTCGCGATTGAAGCGTATAACTGTATATTGGAGCGTAAAATATGTTGGACATAAACTATATAAATATAATGTAGACACATATACAAAACTCAGTGAGATCACGACTACAACGAGTATATATATATATACAGGGTGTATCAAAATAAACGCAATTCATCTTTTGTGCTTAATAACTTTCGAAATACTATTTCTAGTTAAACGCTTTTAGGCTTACTTCAAAGCCTGCTCTTTTCTCTTTCAAACAAACTATTATCCTTGTCTCCAATGCTAGTAACAATTGCACAGGAAAAGATTTAATAAAACCTATAATTTTTAGTTGCTGTTTAATTATGCAAGTTTACTATGTTATTGTTTAGTCGGTTTAAATGTTAGAATTTTCTTCTTTAAACTTTAATGTTGTCGTCACTACATCTGGAAAACCACGTAAGAACAAATTAAAAGTATTTTAAAAAGAGACCAGGTTGTTTGAAAATCCTAAACGAATGCTAAAAAT